AGGCTTGGAATTCCTCGTATGAGTGATGACGAAGCTGTTGATAAGTTTACTCGCGGACTCAAAAACAAGGATGTTCGTGCGCAGATTCGAGGATTATATCGAAACGAATGCCCTCCAACTCTTAACGAAGCAATACAAACTGCTCAAATGTTTGAATCCTCTCGTATTGAAAATGTGCAATTTCAACTACCAGGTATCAGAAACAATTCTACTAACGAGACAGATATGGTGGACGATCCTATGGATCTATCCGCTCTTCGTGAAGTATTAAATTTTGTTCAAAACAATTACGGGAATAATCGTGGTCGTGGTACTTGGCGTGGTGGTCGTGGTGGTACACCTAGAGGTGGATTTAGAGGCTCGAGAGGCGGTCGAGGTGGTTATGGCGGTGCTGGTGGTTTTCGTGGGGATTATCGTGGTGGTTATCGAGGTACCCGTGGTGGATATCGGGGAGGATCGAGGGAAAATTATGCTTATCCTACGCAACAACATCCAAGAGTAGAGAATCGTGATTGTTGGAACTGTGGACAATTTGGACATCTCCAATTCAACTGTCCTCAGCAACAGCAACAAGAATCTTTTTATATTAACTCAGAATATGATAATTATTATGAGGACGATTATAATGAAACTGAAAATCAACAACCCGTGCCTAACAATGTGAATAAAGCTAGTGCACAAAATGATCAGAGAAATAAAATCCAAGCAAATTCTTCATCATCATATTCTAACTCGTCTTTACTATTGTACAGTGTATTACCATCATCTTCGGCATATATTAAACCATTAAGCGTAGACCACAAGATAATGAAACAGGACATTGACTTTTTAATGAACGCTAATAATATTCACTACAAGTTACCGTTATATAAAATTTTAATCAACGGTCATCCATGCAAAGTACTTATCGATTCAGGTGCGAGTGCAAATTATGTTCATTCCGATATGTTACCTTTTGTATCCACAATTGTTCCAGCTAAACAAGGACAATCCGTTGAGACAGCAAATGGGCAGCAAACATATATCAACAAAATAGCAGCATTTTCAATCGCTTTAAATGGATATACAGATCGCATTCAAGCATATGTATTCGACACCAAATTTGATGTAATTTTAGGTAGATCATGGCTTTCACAGGTCCAACCTATTCCAGATTGGTTTAATGGAACGTGGAAAATTCGAATTCGCAATGATCCCACACAAACAACAATGATCTATCCATTACCAGATCATTTGATTAGTAAATCATTGGTGTCACCAAAAGTAGTTCCAATCAATTCCATCGAGGCAAACACTGAGAATAGTCAACGGCAATTGGAGGATCTTGATTTTTTACTATCTGCAAAACAATTAGACCAGTTGTTTAAAAAGAAAAAAGTAGAAGAATGTTATCTCATTGATGTTTCGACAATTTACCAGGAAACGGAGGATTTATTAGTGCTAGTGGATGATAAGTTACCATTACATAAAACAACTAATCATAAAAACTTAGAAAATAGTGATAAGGAATGGTGTGACGAGTTTGCAGTAAAGTATCCGGGAGTATTCAAGGGTGTCATAGACAGTCTGCCTCCTTTGAGAGACACGGTCGAGGACATGATCAAATTCAAGCCAGGAGCTATACCAGAATCTAGGCCTCCGTATCGAATGAGTCCCGTTGAACTCCAAGAATTAAGAAGACAGCTGGACATACTTTTGAAACAAGGATTGATTGAGCCAACGTCTTCACCGTACGGGTCACCGGTATTGTTTGTAAAACGGGTGGACGACAAGAAATTGAGAATGGTTTGTGATTTTAGAGCAATCAATAAGCACAGTATCAGTCATCGTATTCCAATACCACGTATTGATGAATGTTTATCAATGTTACACGGTAGTAATTTCTTCACCACGTTAGATTTGCAAAGCGGATTTCATCAACAACGTCTAACAGAATCAGATTCAGAAAAAACAACAATCAACACAAGATACGGCCAATTTAAATGGAGAGTTATACCGTTTGGACTGCGTAACAGTGGAGCACAATTTCAAAAAATGCTAAACACCATCCTTAAAGATTATATTGATGTTATTTGTTTACTATATATTGATGATATTCTTATTTTTACAAAAGGCAATGATGTAGATCTTCACAAAAAACATGTTGACATGGTTTTACAGAAGCTAGCAGATGCCAGTCTGGTAGTAAACAAAACAAAATGCAAGTTTAATAGAAAGCAGGTGACGTTTTTAGGGCATGATGTGATAGCCAATACAGGTGTTCGACCAGCACAAAAGAAAACCGATGCTATTACCTCTTGGCCTCGACCAAGTAATGTTCAAGAAGTACGACAATTTGTAGGATTATGCCAATTTTATAAAGCATTTCTGCCCAATTTCGCGTCCATTGCTTCTCCAATAACCGATCTTACTCGAGGCTCAGGTCCTAAGCTACGAAATATTGAATGGACGAATGAATGTGAGCAAGCCTTTATAAAAATTAAAGAGATGATGACTACCGCTCCAACGCTACTCAACCCATGTATGACTTTACCTTGGCGTATTGAATGTGATGCTAGTGATTATGCTGCGGGTATGGTACTTCTTCAGCAAGATCCACAATGTAACCATGAATGGAAACCAGTTGCATATGAATCTCGTAAATTTAGTAAGGAAGAAAGAAAATACCCAGTACAAGAACGGGAGTGTTTATCGATTTTACATGCTTTACGTACTTGGCGTTGTTTCATTGATGGCAATGATTATGAGGTATTTACTGATCATGAACCTCTTAAAACATATCAAGATACATCAAAAGTTTCTCCAAGATTGGTAAGATGGATGACGGAATTAAGCTTATACTCACCACGGATTCTATACAAGAAAGGTGTTGAAAACATCATTCCTGATTTGCTCAGTCGACGTGATGGTCCTACTTGCACCCCAAATGCTGAATCAATCGAACCTAGATATCTATATGAGCCTATTGAAACGGTTGCGGCAATTTTGACAAAAACATCCCACAACACCAACGAAACTTTGATCACAGACCCACTTCAAGACTGGCCGCTGTTTTATTTTAAAGACTCCAATCTATGGCCAGAATCCATCAAACGACAATTATCTGAAAAACAAGAAGATTTCATGGTTCAAAATCAACACGTTTGGAAGAAAATCAAACCATCAGACAATCACAAGGAAGACAAATTAGTTAAATTTATTCCATTTAAACGAAGACTGGACCTAGTAGAAGACTTTCATCGAGGGTTCGGACACCAAGGAAAAGCAACTGTTTACCAGCTTATGAAATCCAGATTTTGGTGGCCTAAGATGCTCCATGATATTACAACATGGTTATCACGATGTCCTGAATGTCAACTACATTCGCGTAAAGAATCCAATGTGCATCATGCCCCGATGAAGCCGTTAGAAATTCCACCACCCTTTCACAGATGGCACATAGATTTTATAGGTGAGCTCCCCACAACAAAAAACGGCAACAGATGGATTATTATGGCAGTTGATTATCACACAAATTGGCCAATTGCCCGTGCTTTAAAGTCTGCTACCGCCGATGAAATAGTAAAGTTTTTATATGAAGAGATCGTCATGCGTTTTTCGTGTCCAGTCGAACTTGTCAGTGATCGAGGTGCTAACTTCATGTCCAAAATATTGAATCAATACATGAAAAAAATCAAGTCACAGCATATATTTACCAGCGCCTTCCATCCGAGAACTAACTCCAAATGCGAACGCTTAAACCAAACTTTCAAACATATGATTACAAAATATGTAAAAGGAGAAGTGCATAGCTGGGATGAATTTGTTGAAACTGCCCTCTTTTCCTGTCGAGTAAGAAAACATGCCACAACTGGATTGAGCCCTTTCTTTATGACATATGGTGTTGAAGCAGTTCTTCCAGGTGACTCAAAACGTCCGTTCATGGAACCTATGACAGAAGAAGATCCGGAGCTCATTGCCGAAAATACATTATCACGTATTAGAATACTAAGGGAGGAAAGATTACAAGCAAGCGAAAAAATGAGGATCCAGGCCGAGAAAGACAAAGCGAACTGGGACAAAAAAATGAAAGGAGCAACAACCCAAACTTTTGAAGTCGACGATTATGTAATGCTAAGGCATGAAAACAAGCAAGGCCTTGAATTCAATTGGATGGGGCCATATAAAGTACTCAAAAAAAATAGCGACTACAATACATATCAAATTACTGAAGTGGATGGAAAAATTTACTCCTCTTGGGTCCACACGGATAGGCTTCACCCAGTAAAATACGATGGTAGTCCAATAGACAAAACTTGGTATATTCCTCGCGTTGCTCGAGCCAAAGATAAAGAAAAGCAAAAAATTTTACCTTGAAGCTTATTTTGGAAAGGGGGTGTTGTCGGAGTACAATTCAGATACATATATATATTTCTTAATCATACAAAACAATAAAGACCATCTTTTATCTACTACTCCACTCTCGTATATATCTTAATTAATACAAGATCAGACTCGACACGTTTCGGCAATAACTAACAATATGTAAAAAAGAGAAAGAATGGAGTAGCTGGGCGTCGATCCCAGTGCCTCTCACATGCTAAGCGAGCGCTCTACCATTTGAGCTACAACCCCCACCGCTCTTTCACTTAAAGAATTTTATAAAAAAAAATTTTTTTGTGTAACCCCAACTTTTATTTTTTAAAATATAACCGCAATACCAACACCCTCCAAACTACGCATAAAATAAACAAGCAAACCCGTCTGTTCATTTTAGTCCAACTCCCAAAGTCCTCAGACAAAAACTCACCAAGTTCTGAAGACTTTCGTAATCCGCCATTCCAACGATTTCACAAGACATTCCTCCATCTGTGAACATCCTCTATTGCCACTTCGTTCAAACTTTTCCTGAACCCTCTCTTATTACAGTTAAACACAATACTGTAATTAAAGAATACCTTAATTGAAGACCACCCCGTTTTTTGTTCTTATAAGGTTGTATTTATAATATAACCACTATAATGACAAATACTAAATCCCCTGTTAAAACTAGAGGACAAGCTCCTGCTTCATCCTCTAAAGCATCGGATCTCCTGAAACCTTCCTCGAATGGCACTGGTTTCAAGTCTACTGTCGCTGACCCAAAGTCTGAGCTTCTGCGTAAAAAACAGTTAGCCACGGCTACGGCTCGCCAACTCGTCCCCTCTCCTGAGGCTTCCTCTGTCACTTTGGTCACTACCTCCAAGCTACCAAAGAAGATCACTACAAGTCCAGAACTCTCCCAAGAATCTGAATTTGCTAATGGTCAAGAAATTCAATCCTCTTTCGACACCTCTTCCTTGCCTCATGTCACACCCAATTTACCTTGTGACACGCAAATGTTCTCCTCTCTCCCAGAATTTGCTTTGGATATGCAAAAGCAACTTCGAGAACAAAACCGCCGCTTCGATGAATACGAAGCTAGATTTACTGCAATGGAAGCTATCATCCAAGAAAACATTGCTTTAAAAGCCTCGACCCTGGTGCTCGAAAACAAACTTCGAGATCAAGCTGCAATGATCGCTGATCTACAGCTCCAGCTTGAAAACCAACAAGAACCAAATTCCAGCATGGATGTCGATCAACCTCGTGATCTATCTACTAATGGAAGCATCTGGAGTCAACGACCTTCCTCCTCGTCAGCTCCTAGCACCACAAAGGCCTCTGCTAAGCCAAAAGACTCCCCCAGTAAGCCTGGTTTAACCATGGCCCAAAAGGTTGCTCTCAACGCTAGCAAGCCACTCAAGCCCAAGGCCAAGCCAAAGAAACTGACAGCTGAGGCTATTGCCAACATTGCTCGTCCTTTTCTGGAACGTGATCCAGCTGAACCTAACGGTTTCCAATACGTCTATATTGTCAGAAATCGCAAGATTACTCGTGCCGAAACCCGTAGGCGTTTCAAGTTAGCAGGTGTCGATACTGGTCGTATCATCGACATCACTTTTCCTGCAACTGGTGTTCTTGGTGTTCTTGTTCACGAATTGTACGCTCCCGTGTTCACCAATGTCATGAATACTGCCAAGGTCAATGTTATCAAGGACTTTGATCCTTTGGATCCCAAGCACCTCGCCAACCCAGTATACCTCTCGTACACCAATGAGGCCCGTGCCAACATCGCTGCAGACTTAAACTCCAATCGATGCAAACACGCCCTCCTATACCTACACAACACTCGTCCCCATCAAGTTAAGGCTGTTGGTTACTCTATGAATAACTTAGGTTATATCAGTGAAGAGGATCTTTTTGCAATTACTGCTACTCCTCGCCAAGATCCCAAGGCCCCACTCAACGATGATGCAGCCAAGCTGTTCAATACCAAGCCTGGTGATCGTCCAGAACAAGCCCCACCTATGGAATCTGATACTATGGAAGATATTGATATTGATGCCATTTTTGATACGGCCCCTCAATCAAATGAAGGCGGAATTAAACAAGTCTCTGATGACGAACTTTAATTATGTCGACCCTCCTTCCTTTCACTATCAGTCTCTTTAATGCAAATGGCCTAAAAACCACGACCATTTCAGACCCACTCTCCCACACTCTTTTTTCCGACCTCCTCCTCATCACCGAAACCTGGCTAACGCCCTCTATGCTTTTACCAACTGACTGGCCTCAGTATCACTGCTATGGTCAGAAAGTTCAATATGCCAACAATCGTGGAAAAGGTGGTATAACCGCTTTATTAAATCCATCATGCAACTATACTATCCTTCAACTCCCTTCCACCAATGCTCACACGCTCTCTCTAAAAATTGATGCTCTTCGTGTTCATTGTGTGTACCTTCCTCCATCTATGCCAAACGATCAAGTTTTCGACATCCTTGAATCCATTCCGCTCCTTCCCAACACAATCATCTGTGGTGATTTCAATGCTCGTCTCGGTTCTTTTGTCGGTGACCATCATTCAAATCCTCGTGGTAATCGCCTCTTGTCCTGGTGTACTGACCGCCAACTTCACGTCCTCAATGAATCACTTGCACATGGTATTCCAACCTTTACTGGGTCTAGACACGGTGAAGAAATTAGCAGTATTGTTGACTTGTTCATCACGAATATCACACCCTCTACGCTCATTAACTCCTCTCTCCACGTTGAATCTGACCTCTCTCTTAGTTCTGATCACCGTCTTATGACTCTGTCGTTCGACCTTGATCCGCTCCTAGATGATGTCAATCACGTTCCCGATCGTCCCTTGGCTCCTCGTAAATTATGGAATCTTAACAAGCTCAAAAAGCCCAAGCCCCTCCAGAAATACAGACAGTCCATTCAAGACAAGATCGCTCCCCTCAAAGACCAATTAGAAGACTGGATATCCTCTCCACCTCTGGAATGTCCATCTCTTGACTCGTTCAACGATTTGTTCAATTCATGTGTGTATGATTCTCTTGATTACTCGATTGGCAAAACTCGTCCCCGACCAGATTACTGGAAAAAGTACTGGACTCAAGATTTACAAGATGCTGCTTCACACCGTGACTACTGTTACAAACGTTGGCGTCGTTCAATCGGCATTGACAAAGTACATTGGTGGAATGAACATGTTGCTGCTAACAAGTTGTTTCGTCAAAAGGTGCAAAAAACTAAAAGGGAATCTTGGAAACAGTTTAAAAAAGAAATTGAAAAAAACTTTTCTAAAGCAGTCAAGACTATCTCTAGAATAAAACGCCGCAACCAACAGTCCTCCTCTTTCATGCACCACGATGGTCCACTTAAAGCTGTTGATATAATGTCAGAGCATTTATCATCAGTGTATAATGGTTCCTATCTGCCTGCCTCTGATATTCGCCCTCCTCCTATCACCTTTTCCGAATCAATACCACACGACGTTGAAGACACTTCCTTTTTTGACGCCGATATGATTTCTATGTATATGAATGATCTCCCTAGCAGAAAAGCACCAGGCCCAGATCACCTCAAAGCCGAAATGCTAAAACCTGTTAAAGATCTTATCTCTCCTTTCCTTTCACTTTACTTTCAAGTTTGTTACCAATGGTCATATACCCCGTCTCTATGGCGTCAAGCTACTGTCTTTCCAATTTTTAAGAAAGGTGATCGATCTGATCCTGCCAATTATCGTCCTATTTCACTCACTTCGGTTCTCCGTAAGCTGTTTGAAATGGTGATTTCTGATACTGTCCTTGAATTCTCTCCACCACTGGATCATGCTCAAGGTGGTTTTCGAAAACAACGAAGTCCACTGGACCAAGCCCTATGTTTGCATGATCTTATGCATGATTACTTTCGAGTACATCACCACTTTCCTTCTGTTGCTTTTCTGGATATCAAGCAAGCCTATGATACTGTCGATCGACGTGTTGTCTGGAACTCACTTGCTTCTTCCTCTTCTTTTCCTCGACCTCTACTCAACCTCCTCATCCATATGTTTGATGATGTTTCTATTTCTGTATTGCTGGCCAATCATAAATCAGATCCATTTATTCCTCATACTGGTTTGTTGCAAGGCTCTGTGCTAAGTCCACATTTATACTCTCTGTATATTAACTCTCTTCCTGGTGTACTGCGTAGCGCTGCCTCTAGTTCAACAACCGAGGATCTTTGGTGTTGGTGATTCTTGTCCCACTCCAATTAATTCTCTTCTTTTCGCTGACGACGTTGCCATTTTTGGTACACGCTCTGAAGTTCAACAAATGCTTGATTTAGCCGCTCAACATTCTCTTCAACTAGGCTATCGATGGTCACCCTCAAAATGTGCCATCTTAAATGCTCCTTCTCTCCTCTCTTCCTCAGCTCCTAACTTTCGTTTCACTCTGTACGATCAAGATCTGCCAACTGTTGATCAGTTTACATATCTTGGTATGGAGTTTAATAAAAAAGGCCTTTATGCTGCTGGTAATATCCAAAAACGTTCCGCTGGTGCTATTCAGACTATGGCTCTCCTTAACTCTGTTGGTGTCAACCGAAATGGTTTCTCTCTCCTCCTCTCTGCTCGACTCTACACTACTTTTATACGACCTCAATTTGAATATGGATTAGCAATTTCTCGTTTCACAGCCAGTGATATGAAAAAATTGGATAATCTTCAAAACAAATTGGTGGGTATGTTCCTAGGTAGTCGGCAAACCACTACTGCTAAACACATCACTTGCATTCCTGGCATGCTCCATAGGTACAATGTCCTGGTTACAAAAAATGTATTACGCATGGAAAATCTACCCGAAGATTCTTTACTCGTTCTCTTACAAGAAACCCTTCAATCCTCAAGACTTGTTGATGTCCTCCAAAACAATGTTCTTTATACCTCTCTTCCGGATCCCATCTATGAATCACCTATTCTCCTTCGAAATCATTATCGTCGCCATTGGCAAGAATATTGTGATACCCAACGGATAATCCACGCTCGAAACGGTACACAAGTACTTTTACGTGCTTGTCGTCCAATTACTACCAAACCTGATCCCATCCTGTACCTTCCAATGAATAATTCAGCCCGAAGTCGATTGGTTAGATGGCGATTAGGTCGTTTTACTGCCATGGAACGTGAAGAATGCCCATGTGCCGATTTTGGTGCCCAACTCTCACGAGACCATTTTTTAACATGTCGTGCAATCGATCCCGATCTCATTTCTTCTCTTCCCGTCTCTCCTCCCGGTGTAAACCGTATAGATTTTGCCTTATCTTCTCTGCCCACCAACGCAAAATCTCGCCCTCCCCCTTTTTGGCCAGTCTTACTTACCGTATTATGGTTAATCGACACTTTGTGTCACCCTCTCAAAAACATTCCTGAGGATCCACATCCTGGACGCTCTTGGTTCAATTACCCTTGCTGAACATTGTTTGCTTGTCTTCTGTTGCGACGTCACGGTGGTAAGTAATTATCAAAGTTCCCATCCGTTGACCGTTCCCTCAGATCAATCCAACCAATTATTAAGCTCGCGCTACTCTACCCCTTCTTTTCCTTTTTTTAATTTGACAGTTAGTTACACAAAATTATTTTTTTCATGCATCTCACCCCGTACTCGGAAATCGACATATATCTATGGATAGTCCACCTATTTCCATTATTTTTTGATATTTAGAATCCCCTTTATACCCTCTATCTTAATATCAATAAATAAAACCCCCATTGTTTTCACCTGAGCTACAACCCCCACCCTTCTTTCGCTTAAAGAATTTTATAAAAATTTTTTTTGTGTAACCAATCTTTTATTTTTCGAAATATCAAGCAATACTAGAACCGCCTCCAACTACGCATTAAAATAACAAGCAAACTCGTCTGTTCATTTTAGTACAACTCCCAAAGCCCTCAGACAAAAACTCACCAAGTTCTGAAGACTTTTGTTTTCCGCCAGTTTCGACGATTTCACAAGACATTCCTACATCTGTGAACATCCTCTATTGCTTTCCTGTTCAAACTTTTTCTGAACCCTCTCTTATTACAGCTAAACCCAATACTGTAATTCAAGAAACACCTTAATTGTTGAACGCCCCATATTTGGACACTATAAGGTCGTATTTATAATATAACCTACTATAATGTCAAATATTAACTCTTCTTCCCAGAAACGAGGCCCACCTACCTCCATTTCTGTTCCTCGTAAGGATATTACGAAGCCTTTGACTCGTAATGGAACGTTCAAGCATGTCGTCGCTGACCCCGATGCAGATTTTCTTCATAAGAAGAAAATAGCTACTGCCACGGCTCGCCGCTTAGCTGGCTCTCCTGACTCACCTGATTCATCATCAATCACCTTTGTCTCTTCAGGTACCATCCCCAATGGTCAAAAACCTGCTTCTTCTCAAGCATCTTCTGCTGTTCCTTCTGCTACCATCACTGAACTCGATGATAGCTTAATCATGTCCTCTCTGGATTCGTCCCTCCCTCCCGTATCACCTAATATAGCTGGTGAACATTAGCATTCAGCATCCCTGAATTTGCCCTGGATCTGCAGCAACAGCTCAGAAAACAAGCTCGTCGTTTGGATGAGTATGAAACTCGTCTCTCTGCAATTGATCAGATTTTACAAGAAAATCTTCAATTGAAGACCAACAATCATGTCTTGAAAAAACCATTCGTGAACAAGGTGATACGATTGCAGCTTTAAAGGCTCAATTAACCGCCTCTCCCTATCGCCCCACTGACAACCGTATGCAGGTCGATTCTCAAGAAAGGGATTTATCCTCAAATGCTAGCATTTGGAGTAAAGCACTTCCCCTTCCTCTCTCCTCAAGCCTCCCACCCATGCCTCTACTAGACCCCAAGCAACCAAAAGTAAGCCTACCATGGCTGAAATTGTAGCAAAAAAGGCTAGCAAGCCGGTCCAGCCCAAGCCCAAAGCTAAAAACTTTCCGCTGAAGCTATTGCAAAAGCAGCCCGACCTTTCATGGAACGTGACCCTAATGAACCTCAAGGCTTCCAATATATCTATATTGGTCGCTCTCGTAAGATCACGCGCCCAGAAACTCGTAAGCGCTTTAAATTAGTTGGTATTGATACAAGCCGTGTTATTGATATCACTTTTCCTGCGAATGGTGTACTCGGTGTTCTTGTGCACGCCTCCTATGCCTCCACCTTCATCAAGATCATGACTAACGTCAAAGCCGGTATCATCAACGACTTTGATCCTTTGGACGAAAAACATTTGGCTAATCCCATATACAAGTCTACACCGCTGCTGCTCGTGCTGATATTGCTGCTTCACTAAACAACAACCGTTGTAAGCAAGCTTTGTTGTATCTCCATACCGCTCGTCCTACCCAGGTTAAGCCAGTTGGTTACTCGTTCGTTGACCTTGGATATATATCTGAAGAAGAACTTTTGGAAATA